CGGTCCCGCGGCTGTCCCTCGGGCCGCGCCGCCGCCATGGAGACGCTGTACCGCCTGCCCTTCGCCGTGCTCGAGTGCCCCAACATCAAGCTGAAGAGGCCGGGCTGGGTGCACATGCCCTCGGCCATGACGGTTTACGCGCTGGTGGTGGTGTCCTACTTCCTCATCACCGGAGGTGAGGCCGGGGCCGGGGTGAGCGGAAGACCCCGCTTACGGAGTAGCTTTTCCTCAGCGGGGCGGGTTGCTGGCCCCTGCCCCCGCGCGCAGAGCCTCTGCTGCTCCTGGCCGCTTGTCCGGCTCCAGATCGGTCGTAAAAGCAACTCCGAGCGAACCTGCGGGGTTAAAGCAGTTCTGTTCGCGGCGCTGAGTCAAGGATGGTGCTTGCTTTTCTCCCCGCAGGGATTATCTATGACGTGATCGTGGAGCCTCCCAGCGTGGGGTCGATGACAGACGAACACGGGCATCAGCGGCCGGTGGCCTTCTTGGCTTACAGGTAGGAGCAGGGCTTTGCCCCCCTCCCCCCTCCGCAAGCGAAGTGAGCACAGAGCAATAAACCTTTCGTAGAGCTGTGCATCTACTGCTTTTTTTGAGCTCTCTGGCCGAGGCAGGGTCTGTTCTATATCTCTCCTTAGCTGGCAAATATTTTAAACTCCCAAGCAAACACTGGAATCAATGGAAATAGGAAAACTCAATCAATGCAAAGCTTTTGCATATGAAAACTGAGAAACAAGTTTGGAGCTGGCAGTGCTTATCTCTTCTCCAAACCCTTGCTGTTAAAGTTGAGTTTTATAGTGGGAGTGGACACATTTGCTTATATTTCATAGCAGTATGTGTAATGTTTGAAACTTTTGGTCCTGGCCTTCTAAACTCTGAGGTAATTGGGACTCTTGTGTCTGAGGGTGAGGAACACAGTTACAAATGTGTAACCACAGTGTGGCCTTTGAGTCTGTTGCTTCTTACTAAGCAGTCTCTAGCTTATTTTCAGTAACAAATGGGTCTGAAGAGGATTAACTAGATTTTTAACTGGTGTGTGGTAACAAAGAATTGTTTTTGTTAAATACCCAAAACGCTCTTTAAATCTGCGAGGTCTGTGACATGCCTCAGGCCCAGATTTTGCCTCGCACTGGATGCAGTGTATGTCTCAGACTGGCATGGATTGTTGCAGCGTAGATGAATCAGGCCACTGCAGGGAGTTGATAGCACTTCAGTACAGTTCAGTGAAAACAACACGAAAGAAGGTGAAATAATTTTCAGGATACGAGACAATAATGATAACCTTCATTTTGTATTAGCATGCACAGTAATTTTATCCGTGCCAGTTTTATAAGGTTGCTAGTAATGCTAGTTACAGTGATCAGAGAAGGGTTTGGTGGCTGTGGGAAGCAATGTGCTGGAAGTGGTAGGCCTGCTTCGTGTGCCCACATAGTGCTTCGAGCGGGATTTTTACCGGGATGAGGGTTCAGGCACCGCTGCTGAAACATCAGAATGGAAATAAGACTTGGAACTTGATGACCCAGAGGTCATGGCTCTGTGTCTTGAGCCGTCTGTGAAACCAGGTGCTGCTTTGGACTAGATCGTTTTCAGAACTGATGGGCCTGCGTGGTGTAGTCGTTAGTATGCACTATTATGCATAAAACCACTAGTATGCTTGACTGGTCACCTTGCAGACTGTCAGTCCCAGAGATAAATGACACATTAAAGCCTTAATGTAGTTGTGTAAAATCAGTTTCCATACCTGCTTCTTGTTATAAAGTCAGCCATCAGAGTTAATCCTCCTGTTTCTTTGTACAGCTAAAGCAGGTTGAGTAGGTGGGGGTGGAAGTGCAACTAGTTTCTTCAAAACTAATCTTTTTCTCTCTTGTTCCCTTCTCCCCTGCCTCCCTCCCCCCCCTTTTCTTTTTCTTTAGAGTAAATGGGCAATATATTATGGAAGGGCTCGCATCCAGCTTCCTCTTCACAATGGGTGGCCTAGGATTCATAATTCTGGATCGATCCAATGCACCGAATATCCCCAAGCTGAATAGGTTTCTTTTGCTCTTTATTGGATTTGTCAGCGTGCTTTTGAGCTTCTTCATGGCCAGAGTTTTCATGAGGATGAAATTACCGTAAGTGGCGTAATACTCTTTCAGCTTTGCTTCGGTGGCCCGTGTGTGCCTGTGTTAGAGTAACAGAAAATGCAATGAGGTATGCTAAAGATCTGCAGCTTGGCTGTAAATTGCTTTCTTTCCAATGCTTTTCTTGGAACAAGCTACCTCGAATGAGGTGGGATGCTTTTGGGGCCAGCTATTGTAAGATTATGCTGTGGTGGAAAAAAATGCCAGGTGTGTTCCTGCTGTGTCAGAAGATATCAGTGGTGAGTCTTACGCTGAATTTTAAGGTAGATTGGGCATGTACTGGTCAGGTAAAAGCAATTGCGAAGTAGGGCTTTGAGGGGAAAGCAAACGAGCTCTTCGCAGTGACAGTGTACATGAGATCATAACTAGAACTGATGGCAGCAGTAACGAGGGTTCAGAAACATCCAAAACAGTCCTAAAGTACAGGTGATGTCTGAGGGTTTTTTTGTTGGTGCTGGAAAACTGAACGTAGCATTGAAGCATACGATATATGTGATGTTTTAATACATCTGTATTCCCAGGTTAAAAAGGAGGGATGATCTGGGGCTTTCAGGCTATGCAAAATCCAAATGCAGGACTTCAATTTTTTGTATTTCCCCCTCTTTATTTCTCAGTCCATCTGTTTTATTCAGAATAGCTAAAACCTTACGTTTGGAGGTACTGATAGTTGCTGACTTAACAGTGACAGTCATTTCTCCATTCTTAAATATATATTTTTTTTAATCTCTGCAGTGTAGTTAAACATTCTGTTTCGTAACGCCGAAGTGGGGGGTTCCCTGGCAGCAGCAGCCTGGACAGGGACCTGCTCTTCATTTTCTTGCATCACTGATGCTATATATTTTCTTGTTTCTTTGAGTACACGTGTCTTAAGAGCTCTTTTTCTTAAACTCATTAAAGAAAGAGGACTTAAGAGAAATGGGAGACCAGGGTTGTGCTGAGTGCCAGAAAACGTCACGTTATGCTGAGTGTCTTAACGTGGGTAGATGTGTAAAGGATACGCATAAAGAACCTTTCATAGGGCGTAACCTGGGCTTCAAAAATGCCACACACTGGAGCTGGATTGGGAACAGGCCAATCCATTTTCAGTGTTCACTGAAGAAAATCAGGTGGGGAAGGAGCATGCAGCTAAGCTGGCCAGTTTGTGCCTTGGAGAGGATTTTTTTTAAAGGATCACCAGAGTTTTTGGCAGTCTGAATTTTTTGTTTTGAGACCATACGTCTCTGGATCTTTGATTTTAGCTGCCTGTGCTTGCTAACTTTTATTTTCTAACCTATCTTTTTTTCTGTAGGGGCTACTTGATGGGCTAGTACCTTTTGTGATGCATGAAAGCTCGAGCTGAATTTCCTCCTCTTCATGAAGTGTTTAAGAAGCAGCAGCACGAAACAAATTCCACAGTCGCCATCAACAGGGAAGAGACCTGGCTGTGAAAAACAACTAGTCCAAGAGTGCGCTCTCTGCAGCCAAACTCACCACCAATGGCTGATTTGTAATTTTGAGGCAATGTTTTATCACTTCTGTTACAGGGCTTTTGACAAGAGCAGGTTGCCTAACTGGGTTTCCCTTTGAGATCCCAACTCTGTGTGAAATAGAGAACCTGTCTGGAGCTCTGCCTGAAATATTAGCCATTGCCTTGGCAGTTCTTTGCTGCAGGTCTCTCTCCTCTTCCCCATGTGGGACAAATATCTGTGTGAATTGGAGAAGAAACACTTGAAACAATTCTTTCCAAGTGATAATTAGAAAATTAGTAACTTTGGATGCTTTACAGTCAAAATACAATGTGTCTGAAATTATTTCAAATTCACCTTTTGCCTTGATACCGATGGCTCTGTGTGAGCAAATCCAGACATGCACTGGGAAAGGCAAACTGTATGAGTGCGCATTTCTTTTTGAAAAAGTACGAAAGGAGCCAAATAAATCTTATTTTCTACAAAATTAGTTGAATTCTCTGCAGTTCATGAAGCCTTTTCTTGTGTCCGTGGCCTGGTCTATGTCCAGGGTTGTTCTTCATACCGTGACCATGTAATTTCAGCTTTGTTTTTCACTGTTGGACGATGGTTTATTTTTTTTACATATTGGGGATCTGGTACTGTATCCAGATAACACTGTTATGGGTAGCCAAGAAAACTTACTTCTGACACTGCTGCTTCTTTTGTGAGAGGCAAGGTTCCAACTCATGTTATCTTCATTTTAAAAGATTGAACTTATGGCCACGTTTCACTGAGGTGACGTATTGCATTCTGGGCGAAGGAAAGATTCTTCTCGATCTCCATAAATGCCTTTTTTTGCAAGCTTTATGTGTTAGAAACACTATTTTCATCTGTATAATAATTGGCAGTGAGAAATGTTTATCCCCTTAATTCTGAAGCATTACTGTTCACATACTTAAATTTCTGAGCTGGCTGTTAATCACCTGCCCTCAGGACATGTCACTTCCACTCGCTCCTTCTTACATATGGTGTGACTTCCTCCTTTGCTCATCTGACATGTTTGCATTAAGGTTTCAGGTAGCTTAAGCGGTTTCATGAGGCTCGTAGCTGTGAAGTTTCCAGTCTTTTCAAAGCAGTTGTCGTCTGGTCGCTCTGGTTTTGGCGAGATGCATGCTTACCTTCAAGAGGCAATATCGACACCATGTAAGTCAGTAACTGGGTACGTGTCAACTTTTCAATGCAGCTGGGAGGGAAGTCGGACCAGAAAGTCACTTCAGCGAGTATAATCGAGAGCCCTCGAGCTCCGGATTTGTCCCATTGCCGTTCAGCTTCAGCCTCCAGGTTTTTGGCTGATTCTAAATGAGTGTGCTCTTACACAGTGGTTTTGATGGCATAGTTGAGTGCGTTTCATAGGCCACAGACATTTCCTAGAATCCCAGAGTGGTTTGGGTTGGCGGGGATGGTTAAAGCCCACCCAGTTCCAACCCCCCTGCCATGGGCAGGGACACCTTCCATAGCCCGGGTTGCTCCAAGCCTCATCCAGCCTGGCCTTGGACACTCCCAGGGATGGGGCATCCACAGCTTCTCAGGGCAACCTCTCCCAGTGCCTCCCCACCCTCTGCGGGAAGAATTTGCTTACAATTGCATGCTCACTGACAGGGAGAGCACTGCAACAGACTTAATAATTGCAGGGTAGGAGGTAGTCTTACTCTTCCAGGACTAAGATGATGATCTGTCTGCAACAAGCAAGGCTAAACGATCCCTTATGTTTCTTTAGTTACAGGCTACCAACTAGATCTCGTGTGATCCTTTGCCAAAGCACGAGGCACAGAGAAAGCTAGGAAAATGAATGCAGAGCAGGAGACAGACCACCCAGACATTAGGACTGTGCTAAGCAGGAAGGTGTCAGAATGCCCACCTGGAGACTGGCTCCTTTCGGATGAGGGTTGGAGGATTCTTGGTCATCCCAGGAAAAATTTCTAGCAAGCGCTATAAAATAAACTGCAAGGAGGTATTGCTATGTTACAGGGATCCTTTTTTTAGTTAAAGGCTGATGTTTTCTGTAAATGTGTGCTGTTCCTTATAAGTAACAGCAGGTGGCCTCTGCTGCCAGGGTGTGGGGCAGGAATGGGAATATTTCAGTGGCTGATGGAAACCTTCCTGTAAGGTGACAATATCCACCTGTGCTCGGTGCTCGTAGCATCTTGGGTGAACTGAGCTAGATGGTGGGGTGGGAAATTAGAACCAAAATTGAAACACTGTGATAAAGGTAAAGCAGAGCTTGTAGGAACGTGTCTTTCTGTGATTCAGAACAGGATTTTGGCCTCCTTCCAAATGCAACGAGGTCCTGCTGAAGAGGTCTGGATTTCCTGACTCTTGCTGGAGAAAATACCGAATCCATGGCTCCTCCATAGGCATAATGATGGTGCCAGGTCAGTACAGTCAGGAAGAGGTGTATAACCTGTGTAGCTTTTGACAGTCAGCATGTACATGTATGAACACTTAGCAATCCAAGGGATCTTGTATTTGAGTTAGGCTGAAAAATGCCTCTACATAAAATAGACCAATAGTCTGGTTTCCTTTTCTTCCCCTAGTGCTTTTCCCAGACGTGCAAATTGTGGAATGGTAACATAGAATGACAGAAACAGGTTGGAAAAGACCTTTAAGATCACTGAATCCAGCCATAAACCTTACGCTGTCAAGCCCCTCTAAACCATGTCCCGAAGTGCCACGTCTGTGTGGTTTTTAAATACTTCCAGAGGTGGTGACTCAACCACCTCCCTGGGCAGCGATTCCAGTGCTTGATAACCCTTTCAGTGAAGAGTTTTCTCCGAATACCTGATCTACCCTCGCCTGGAACAGCTCGAGACTGTTCCTGTCACTGGGGAGAAGAGACCAACACCCACCTCATTGCAACCTCCCTTCAGGTCCTGCTTCCTCCAGCTCCCTCGGCACCCTTGGTGGATCCCACCCATCCCCCCGTGTCTGTCTAAGGGGTGCAGCAGGGCGCTGACCAATTCCCCTTGGATTGGGGTCTTCATTCTGCTCCCCATCCCTGTCTTATCATCACAGGAGCCGGGTACCCAGAGAACAGCTGGTCTTGCTATTAAAGACTGAGGCAAAGGTGGCATTAAGGACCTCGGCCTTTTCCTTATCCTTTGTCCCTGTTTCCCCCCGCATCCAATAAAGGATGGAGAGCCTCCTTAGCCCTCCTTTTGTTAATGTATTTACAGAAACACCTTTCATTGCCTTTTACGGCAGAGGGCCAAGTTTTAGTTGGGCATTAGCTCGTCTAATTTTCTCCCTGCATAACCTCATAACACCCTTGCAGTCTTCTGGAGTTGCCCGCACCTTCTCCCAAAGCTCATACCCTCTTTTTCCTGAGTTCCACCCGAAGCTCTGTTCAGCCAGGCTGGTCTTCCCTGCAGATTCCTATTTTGACATTTGCTCCTGCAATTTTAAGATGTCCTTCTTGAAGACCATCCGGCCCTTCCAGGCTCCTTGGCCCTTTAGGACTTGTCTCCCAAGGGACTGTGTCAACCAGGCTCCCGAACAGGCCGCAGTCTGTCCTCCAGGCCCAGCTCTGCTAACCATCCTCCTTCCACCTCCAAGAAACGAGACATGTTTGGAAGATCTGTGCCACTAAAACAATTTTTGGTGGGAGAGGACATTTATTTGGACCAAAGAGTTGGTCCAAATACCAACTTTTTAAAAATGTGTAATTGCCAACTGAAACCTCTAATGTTTTTAGCAGGTAAGTGTGTTTACCGGTATGAATTAGTCCACAGTAATACTTGAAATAAAACTGACACCTTAGACTGCAGAATATTTTTAAGCACCACATCAGACTTTCTTACTGATTTACAGCATTCTAATGCTAAATATATTGTGCTTCATGGAGTTCTGCTTAGGAGGCTGAAAGCACTTCCATCAGGTGCCTACAAAGCTGGATACTCGTTTGCAGAGTGCTGTTTGATACGGTTACTGTTACCTACCTACCTCCAGCTCCAGTTGTGTATTTTATATGCATAAATACATTATTAATATGTGATTTAGGAAGCACTAGATACGAAGCTTCTCGAGTTGCCGTCTTAGAAACTGCGACAATCGTAAATTTCTGCTGCAGCTCCCAGTGCAGGGAGCCAACGTGGGTTTGAGGAAGACAGCAACTTTCCTTTATTTTCCTGACGTACTGGGAATGCTGCACACAAGAAGGCGTTTTCCTACAGCACAGCCACATCTGCGATAATGTAACCGGTATTAGACCTTTGTGAATGTGTTGATTGTGTCTTCAGCGTTAACCATTTGCCTCACGGAAAGGGTTGCAGCTATAACTCCAGCCTATTTTTTTTTCCTTTTGAATTGTCACTTCTCATTTTTGCAGTTACTTTAGAGTATTTTTCTTCCAGAACATGGTTGAAGAAGGCTGAAACCATTACAAGAAAGGGATTGGGACAACTGTAGGGATTTCAGAAGATCTCTGCAGTCACATTGAGGCCGTTTGGCTATACTGATGATTGGAGCAATCAGGATAAATCTGGATTTCAGTAATGGCTAAAAACACAACTGATGTACCAAATTCTTCTTGAAGGGTAGCGTTTCATGGGAAGCAGCTACTAGAAATATGACAGTTTCTGTGTGATTTTGTTTCCTTGGTAAGAACTAATTATCCTGGTGTCCTTTTTGACACGGATACCCATCAGCTGAGAACTGGACTGAGACCATGAGCTCGTTTTAGGGCAGGAGCTGTGACACTTTAATGAGGGTCAAGCATGTCTGATTCTGTAAATGTCAAAGCTCTTAGGGCATTGTACCTACCAACTGCAAGAAACAGTGTTTAGCTGTGGGCAAATCGGATCAAGGTGGTATCACCCACTGCCCTTTGCATGCAGAAGACTGACAATTTCCTTCTATTTTTAGCTGGATATGGGGAAAGAAATTTGGGAAGGACTCAGTCTGGTTGGTTTATTCTAGAGCGAACCGTGGAAGTTAACCTTTTTCTGCATTACTTAGTAGACAGGCTGAAACAATTTTCCAAATTTTTAGCTATTCCTGACAGCTCCTGGATGATGTTCGTTATATTCAGCCTTCCAGTACCTCATCTGTCTTTAAATGTGGATGGAGAGTGTGAGGGATGGGGAATGATAAAACTTAACTTCAGTATGAAGAACGAGTTTTGGGGTGTTGGGGGAAGCTTTTTAAGCACCTGGAAGAAAGTGGCAAAAGGATGAGTAGCCAACTTGGATTTTTAAGGAATAAGACATATGGAGAAAAAGCCATACATGAGAGTTATGGGATGGAAGAAAAGCAGATGTTCAGGCTGTAGGTTCTGATGCCGTCTTGCATGTTATGGAAACTTGGCTTAGCCAAAACAGCTATAAGCTGGATGCAAAAGTACCTTGAAAACCATTTTCTGAGTGTTTACTGATTAGTTCATGTCCTTTTATCAAAGTGGACAGATTTTTGGGTTTTGTTTTTGAGGTCTGGCCTGTGGCTAATTTTGTTCATCACCCA